GGTGAGGACCCCTTGATGCTTTTGCGAAATATCGATCATTCAATGGGGTTGTGTAACGGGACACATCTTATTCTTACGAGGCTCGGTGATCATGTTTTGGAGGGGAAAATTTTAACTGGTGTGAGTGCTGAACAAAAAGTATTAATTCATAGATTGTCCTTGACACCATCCGATGCCACCTTGCCTTTCAAATTTCTTGGCGACAATATCCCGTTATGACTTCATATGCTATGACTATAAATAAAACTCAAGGTCAATCTTTGTCCCGTGTTGGGTTGTTGTTGAAAAAATCGGTATTTACCCATGAACAGTTGTATGTTGTAGTATCAAGGGTTACCAATCGTTGTGGTTTGAAAATTCTAATTGTTGATGAAGATGAAGAAACCACTGACAAGACTCAGAATGTTGTATTCAAAGAAGTGTTCAACAATGTTTAGGTTTACATTAAATGGATTTTTACAATGTTATGGTTTCAACGTATTTGTTGGATGTTTTTTATCTTTTAAATAATGCTTAGTACTCTCATTTTGACCATAATATTATAAGTGTGTATCGTTTAATGCTTTAATGTATATCAATATTACATGAAAATAGATGATGTCATCAATTGATAGTGTGATTTGAATCCCTAAGCACACATAAACTTGAAAGAAGATTTCTCAAACCGTGCATCGCACGGGTGAGTTACTAGTTATTATAAAAAGACATTACTACTAAAGTCTAAAAATATCCCACACCGTATGATTGAAGATTTTAAAACGATATAAGATTTGATATTTTTGACTTTGATGTGTTGGTAATGATTATTCAGAAGGCTTGTTCACAATTTAAGAAGTATACATTTATAACTTATGAGTTGCCATTTGTATAACATTCTGTTACTACTAATTACAATTATCAATAATTATTATTAGTAATTAATAGAATGTTATACAGATGGCAACTGATAAATAATAAATGTACACTTTCAATTACAAGTTATCTACTCTTTTAGACAAATTATATTGTGGGATCGATACATCGTACATGGTGTATCGATTCTACTTCTCCTTTATTTTGCTTTTGTGCACATATGTATTTCCTTTTCTCTTTTCTTCTTTTTCTTCTTTTTCATTTTCTACTATTCTTCTTTTACTTCTCCATCAAATATTAAAAACGTAATTATAAATTTACTTTTTTCTTTATATTCAACTGAAATTAAAACTCAATCTACTATTTATTCTTTATAAATTCTGTTAGATAATTCAATTTAATTGTAATTATCTTTGTTTATTAGATTAGTATTAGTGGACTTTTTAATTAAAGTGGGCTAGCTAATTATTTGAACTAGGCGTGCGGTTATTCTCTGTCCTATAAATATAGGTAGAGGTTCGAAGTTCGAACTTCTCCCCATTTATTTTCCGCAAATTATACCGTGGGATCGACCCACCGTGCGCACGGTGTGCCGATCCCAAAATCAGTCACCAGATCTTCTTCCGACTTCAACCGCGCCCAATTCTTGAGCTTTGAAAATTTTCAGATTCATCATCGAAGCACACTGTCGTCTTCCATCTTCATCATCCACGACAAACTTACTGCTCAATCCCTATGGTTTCATTGAGTTCAAAACTCTCTCCATCAAATCCCTAGAAAACCTCAAATCCTACCCCTCGTTGAGTACCTCTGCAACTGTTCAAATAAACAACCCAACAATCACTTTCCATTGAATCACTTTCCTGGTGAGCTACGATTCGACGAACTCTTCCTCCATCCGTTCAAGCTTGAGGGACCTCGAAGCTTCTAGCCCCTTCTGTTTCCGTTGCGTCCAATCATCCCGTTCAAGCGGCGCTGCCGGCTAAACTTCTTATTTGAAATATTTGAAGGACATACTTCTGTCAACTACTCCGTACAAAATTTTAAATTGCATTTTAAAATAAGTAGAATTTATTAAATCTGTAAACTCATATTTGTAATTGACCTCAATCAGTAATACATTTCACATAATCTCACTATTGGTCGGGTTTGTGGATGATGGCGTTAATGGTGGGACCTATCCGGTCTCTGTTGGTTTTTCGATGATATAAAAAATTATTCATAAGATATCGATTATGAAAATCAGAGATAGAAAAAATTTAGTTTGAGTCAGCTTTCTTTAGCTCGGGTTCGGTCTAGGATTGAATAGAGCCGGTTAAGGACCGATTGAAGAATTATCATATTTGAGTATTGTTTAATAATGCCATAACACACTTTCACATATTTGTACCCCCCCCCCCCCCTTATTTGCCAATTTACTCGGGCAATTCGTATAAAAATGCAATTCGTATAAATGCATACTCACCATATTACTTGATATGTTTATACTTAGACTTATTTCAGTCTCAAACCAAACCAAACTTAAACAAACCAGACCAGACCATACTTGGGTATTAGAAATAGTAGAAGCACCTATTTGAACATTTTCCCACAAATTTAGATTCAAGTATAAATCCAGAATGACATAACACACTTTCACATATTTTACTCCCTTATTTTACCCATTTAGAGAGACAATTAGTGTACAAAATGCAATTCGTATAAAATTATAGTCACCTTATTACCTAGTTATAATAAATAACTTACCTTCAATTAATTTATATAAACCTTTGATTTTCGGCAGGTGTTGCCGGTGATACCTCATGGGAGTAGACATGATATAGTCAATGCGACGATTAATTCATCATATCTGTGGTCGGAATGCACAAACCTTCATTTGATAAAAATATGCGAATGCAGAACACAACTAATCCATCATATTCTTACGATTTGAAGGTCTTTTCAGATTGGATTGCCAACGTTGATGACAGTATTGCGGGTGAAAGTAATGATAGTCATGTTCGTATTACTATTCCTGAAGATCTATTGATACGCAGATGGAGATCCTATAGCTGGGAATGTTAAAAGCATATTTCCGAAATATGTTGAATCTACAGGTGATATGAGTTGTTTGCGTGATCGTGCAATATTGGCACCGACACTGGCTTTGGTTGAAGCTGTTAATGACTATATGACGGCTCTTAATGTTGGTGAAGTTTCAAGAACATATCTCAGTTCCGACACTGTTTCTAAGGTAGATTCTACGACCGATCTAATGGCAGAACTGCACACAACCGAGTTCTTGAATAGTACTCCCTTCGTCCCAATTTACATGTCCTACATTCCTTTTTGGGTTGTCCCAAAATAAGTGTCTCCTTTCCTTTTTTTGAAAAGAAATATGTGACCTACATCATTTCACTTTATTATACTCAAACCTCAACCACAACTTTTACTTTTTCAACCACTTCATCGATAATCGTGCCAAGTCAAACTAAGACACATAAAATGGGACGGAGGTAATATAAAATTGTCTGGTGTACTGAATAATGAGTTAATGTTAAAGGTGAGGACCCCTTGATGCTTTTGCGAAATATCGATCATTCAATGGGGTTGTGTAACGGGACACATCTTATTCTTACGAGGCTCGGTGATCATGTTTTGGAGGGGAAAATTTTAACTGGTGTGAGTGCTGAACAAAAAGTATTAATTCATAGATTGTCCTTGACACCATCCGATGCCACCTTGCCTTTCAAATTTCTTGGCGACAATATCCCGTTATGACTTCATATGCTATGACTATAAATAAAACTCAAGGTCAATCTTTGTCCCGTGTTGGGTTGTTGTTGAAAAAATCGGTATTTACCCATGAACAGTTGTATGTTGTAGTATCAAGGGTTACCAATCGTTGTGGTTTGAAAATTCTAATTGTTGATGAAGATGAAGAAACCACTGACAAGACTCAGAATGTTGTATTCAAAGAAGTGTTCAACAATGTTTAGGTTTACATTAAATGGATTTTTACAATGTTATGGTTTCAACGTATTTGTTGGATGTTTTTTATCTTTTAAATAATGCTTAGTACTCTCATTTTGACCATACTATTATAAGTGTGTATCGTTTAATGCTTTAATGTATATCAATATTACATGAAAATAGATGATGTCATCAATTGATAGTGTGATTTGAATCCCTAAGCACACATAAACTTGAAAGAAGATTTCTCAAACCGTGCATCGCACGGGTGAGTTACTAGTTATTATAAAAAGACATTACTACTAAAGTCTAAAAATATCCCACACCGTATGATTGAAGATTTTAAAACGATATAAGATTTGATATTTTTGACTTTGAAGTGTTGGTAATGATTGTTCAGAAGGCTTGTTCACAATTTAAGAAGTATACATTTATAACTTATGAGTTGCCATTTGTATAACATTCTGTTACTACTAATTACAATTATCAATAATTATTATTAGTAATTAATAGAATGTTATACAGATGGCAACTAATAAATAATAAGTGTACACTTTCAATTACAAGTTATCTACTCTTTTAGACAAATTATATTGTGGGATCGATACATCATGTACATGGTGTATCGATTCTACTTCTCCTTTATTTTGCTTTCGCGCACATATGTATTTCCTTTTCTCTTTTCTTCTTTTTCTTCATTTTCATTTTCTACTATTCTTCTCTTACTTCTCCATCAAATATTAAAAACGTAATTATAAATTTACTTTTTTCCTTATAATCAACTGAAATTAAAACTCAATTTACTTTTTATTCTTTATGAATTCTGTTAGATATATTATATGGTGTTAAATTTAATTGTAATTATCTTTGTTTATTAGATTAGAATTAGTGGACTTTTTAATTAAAGTGGGCTAGCTAATTATTTGAACTAAGCATGCGGTTATTCTATGTCCTATAAATATAGGTAGAGGTTCGAAGTTCGAACTTCTCCCCATTTATTTCCAACAACAGGTGAACTATTCTATTTAAGAATGATGCTCACTGTAATAAAAGGGCCACATTGTTGTGAGGATATTAGGACGGTTGCCAACCATCCTAATATATTGGAGCATTAAAAGAAGTTAAGGCTGAGCATCAGGGCACTACTTGAGAAAATTGTTTGTAACTCTGCTCTTATCATGTCCCGTCAGCAGACCTGAGCATGTCTGGGAACAAACTTGGCAGTGGTTGGCTGATGGAATTTTGTATGAACAACGAAGGCTCTCGAAAATCCAAGGTAAGTCAGATCAATTAAAAATTAACTGTTCTCTAATCATATGTAATATGAAAAATTATTCACGAGGCTTACTCTACCAAAAAAGTTATAAGATTTGTGATTAAAAGAATCACCCTGAATTGCATTCACCTTATATTTGAATTCGAATAGAAAACATAAAGTATATATGATTAGATTAGCAGATCTATGTTACTCTTTTAAATTTTTTACTAATTATATAATTAAAAAATTAGTAAAACATTAAATTAGTTATTTCCTGTTACCATAAATTAACATTATTTTCCGATTACTGCAATCAACTTTTCTTACCTTAGGTATTAAAATAATTCACGTATCAAGTAACATATAATTTATTTCACCTGTCAAGTAACGTAAATTAGTCATTCATTTTCATAAAAGAATATATTCAAATAAAAATATTTCATAATTTCAATTGTCTGCATATCTCATTTGCAATTTATTTGCATCAATGTGACAAATTGAATGATTTACAATAAAAACATAATGAGAGTGAACACATACAACATATATGAACATCTTCTTCTAATTACTAATTCAATTGTGTTTATTACATTCGTAGATTTACAACTTAGTGATCAAGAGTTGCAAAATTTAACTCTTGTGGAGATCGAGAAGTTGATGCAAAAAAAGAGAAAAAGTCTAAAAGATTATCCCTCAATACCGTATCCAAATGGATATATCACGGAACAACTAGGGAATAAGCTTATTTATGCAGAAAGTGATTATGATACATCCAAGTTGCGTGAGGAGTTCCAAACTTTGTATGCTTCTCTTACCGGTAAAATAAATACAATTCATATGATTTATAAGTCAAATTAAATGATTTTGAGAGTCAAGAAGAAAAATGATTTCCTGCATATATTTTGATGCTAATGTTGCAGATGAACAGAAAGACATATTTGACACAATAATGGAAGCTGCAAATAACCAAAAAGGCGGAGTATACTTTTTATATGGTTGTGGTGGTACAGGAAAAATATTTATGTGGAGGACACTAGCTTCTGCCTTACGTTCTCAGCGTCATATTGTTTTAACTATCGCGTCCAGTGGTATAGCTTCTCTACTCTTACCTGGCGGTAGAACTGCACACTCTAAATTTTCAATCCAAGTTCCTACTCTAGAGAACTCTACATGCAATATACATCAAGGGAGTGAACTTGCAGAGCTCTTAAAACAGACTAAGTTGATAATATGGGATGAAGCAACAATGGCTAATAAATTTTGTTTTGAAGCACTAGACAGAAGCCTAAATGACATCATCAACAATGATGGTAATTCAATTTTACCATTCGGAGGAAGAGTGGTTGTCTTTGGAGGAGACTTCAGACAAACTTTACCAGTTATTCCTGGAGGAAGCCGTTCAGACATTGTTAATGCTACAATCAATTCTTCATATCTATGGGATGACTGTCAGGTATTAACTCCATTTTTAGTACCATAACAAATATGTTTACTTTTACTATAATTTACAAATTCATTTAACCACAATATAATGAATAATAAAGTACCACTAATTACTTTATATTAGCTCACATTCATTCGTTCACTTTTAGCTTAAACAAAGTACCACTAATTACTTTATATTAGCTGAAATTCATTCGTTCACTTTTAGCTTAAACAAAGTACCACTAATTACATTAATTATTTAACTATTTCGCCTAATCACTTTATAATTTTTTTTGGAATAATTACTTTACAAGTTATACTCAAATATAAGTATTACTTTTTTTTGTTTATCGATAGGTACTGTCTCTTACTAAAAATATGCGACTTCAAAATAGTTTGGATATGACAAGTGCTACTGAGCTCAAAGAATTTTCAAAATGGATATTGGATGTGGGGGATGGAAAAATATCAGAGCCAAACGATGGTTATGCAGAAATAAAAATTCGAGATGAATTCTTGATTAAAGAATTTGATGATCCAATTGATTCAATAATTCGTAGCACGTATCCTAACTTGCTGGAGCAATACAAAAATGAGGAATTTCTCAAGTCTAGAGCTGTATTGGCATTAACTATTGAAATTGTCGATAAAATAAACGACTATGTTCTTTCAACGCTCCCAAGTAATATTATAAAAATGCTACCTTCCTTATTTACTTACAAAATAAATTCTTAAACAAATTTAATAATTAAATTAAGACTAATGAACTTTTATAACTACAAGTGAAGAAAGAGAATATTTAAGTTGCGATTCTGTAGACAAGTCAGATGTAGTTGAAGACGAAGCATTTGAAACGTTGACACCAGAATTTCTCAATTCCTTGAGAACATCGGGTCTCCCAAATCACAACATACGGCTTAAGGTTAGGACTCCAGTAATGTTGTTAAGAAATATAGACCAGTAAAGACTATGTAATGGAACTAGATTGATTGTCACAAGACTGGGAAATCATGTCATCGGAGCACGAATTAGGGCTGGGACCGGTTCGGTTCTTACTCAAAATGAGTGGAACCGTTATAAAAGTTTTAACTAATGAAATTGGTTCGGTTCCTATGTAAAAAATGAAGAACCGTTATGGAACCGAACCGGTAGTAAACGGTTCGGTTCTTCCTTTTACCGGTTCCTAGAATAATTTTTTCTCATCTAAGAATTAACACATAATTTACTTTCTACAAACAACATAAACATGTCGAAAATTCAAAAAATGAGTATTAGAATTTTATTTGAAGCTCTAATCACTTCAAACATCAAAGATCAAACTTAACTAATGAACTGCGAACACTTAATAGAACAAAAAATGATTTAAATTTTCATGTAATAAATAAAAATATAAAAATCGCTGTAGTGTGAGAGCGATGAAGGTAACTCGTCATCATAGTAGCAAGAATAGGACGCCTACTTCAAGTCTTTCAAAACATAAAAAAATACATTGAGTTCGCATGTATAGATATAAAAAACATTATTACATTCCATTGATTCATAATAAATCTAATAATTAGAAATATCATGAAAATAGTAAAGTAGAATATGTGCAATCATCAACAAGTTATTTGAGTTATTTTATATTTATAAAATTTATGTGATGGAACAACACTTGATTTGTAGAAAGGAGTTTAATGTATTATATCAACCTCATGTACAATATTTATTATTTCGTTTTCGTTGATTAAATTAGAATTGTTACTTAAATATCTTAAATTGTTTTATTATTATTGTTGTGGTGATGGTTATTATTGCTATTGTAATATTATTATTGTTATTATTATTATTATTATTATTATTATTATTGTTGTTGTTACTACTACTACTAATATTAATTTATTTTTTATTCTTTTTAATAACGGTTCCTTAACGGTTCCATGCACATGTTTTTTATAGGAACCGGGAACCGAACCATTATAAACCGCTTCGGTTCGGTTCCTACAAATGAGGTATTAATTGTTAACGGTTCGGTTCCTAGATGTTGTTAACGGTTCGGTTCCAATTGGTTCTACGGTTCCCGGTTCCAAAATCTCACCCCTAGCACGAATCATGTCTGAAGGCAATAGTGGAGATGAGATTTACATACCTCGAATGTGTATGTCTCCTTCTCAATCACCATGGCCTTTTAAACTTATCAGAAGACCATTTCCTATAATGGTCTCATATGCGATGACAATAAAAAAATCTCAAGGACAGTCACTGGAAAGAGTTGGATTATACCTGCCAAGACCTGTTTTTAGTCATGGACAATTGTATGTGGCATTATCGAGAGTTCAAAGCAAACATGGATTGAAGATTTTAATACATGATAAGGATGGAGGCGACACTACTACCAATGTCGTATTCAAAGAGATTTTCCAAAATCTCTAACACTTAGGTTTAATATTTTACTTAATATTAATTTTATTAACTTACACTTTATGATATTCAAATATTGTACTTGCTTCTAAGAAGAATACCAATTTTTTGAAATTAGTTTCCTTTTCTAATTAATTTGATCATGATTACAAATATATCCATAGATTATTTCCCGTGCGTATGCACGGGTACTGTACTAGGAAACTTGAAAGAAAATTTCTCAAACCGTGCATCGCACGGGTGAGTTACTAGTTATTATAAAAAGACATTACTACAACCAAACATTCCAGCCCAGCTGGTTGTGAGGTTACCGTGCCTAGTGGGAGGTCTCGAGTTCGAATCCCGCTAGGCACACAAGGGTGTGAAACTCAATGGAGTGGGTTTCACCCCTGATTACTCCAGGTTCCCCCCAGCCCCCCCTCCCCCAGACCCCCCTGGAGTTAAAAAAAAGACATTACTACTAAGGTCTAAAAATATCCCACACCGTATGATTGAAGATTTTAAAACGATATAAGATTTGATATTTTTGACTTTGATGTGTTGGTAATGATTATTCAGAAGGCTTGTTCACAATTTAAGAAGTATACATTTATAACTTATGAGTTGCCATTTGTATAACATTCTGTTACTACTAATTACAATTATCAATAATTATTATTAGTAATTAATAGAATGTTATACAGATGGCAACTGATAAATAATAAATGTACACTTTCAATTACAAGTTATCTACTCTTTTAGACAAATTATATTGTGGGATCGATACATCGTACATGGTGTATCGATTCTACTTCTCCTTTATTTTGCTTTTGTGCACATATGTATTTCCTTTTCTCTTTTCTTCTTTTTCTTCATTTTCATTTTCTACTATTCTTCTTTTACTTCTCCATCAAATATTAAAAACGTAATTATAAATTTACTTTCTTCTTTATATTCAACTGAAATTAAAACTCAATCTACTATTTATTCTTTATAAATTCTGTTAGATAATTCAATTTAATTGTAATTATCTTTGTTTATTAGATTAGTATTAGTGGACTTTTTAATTAAAGTGGGCTAGCTAATTATTTGAACTAGGCGTGCGGTTATTCTCTGTCCTATAAATATAGGTAGAGGTTCGAAGTTCGAACTTCTCCCCATTTATTTTCCGCAAATTATACCGTGGGATCGACCCACCGTGCGCACGGTGTGCCGATCTCAAAATCAGTCACCAGATCTTCTTCCGACTTCAACCGCGCCCAATTCTTGAGCTTTGAAAATTTTCAGATTCATCATCGAAGCACATTGTCGTCTTCCATCTTCATCATCCACGACAAACTTACTGCTCAATCCCTATGGTTTCATTGAGTTCAAAACTCTCTCCATCAAATCCCTAGAAAACCTCAAATCCTCCCCCTCGTTGAGTACCTCTGCAACTGTTCAAATAAACAACCCAACAATCACTTTCCATTGAATCACTTTCCTGGTGAGCTACGATTCGACGAACTCTTCCTCCATCCGTTCAAGCTTGAGGGACCTCGAAGCTTCTAGCCCCTTCTGTTTCCGTTGCGTCCAATCATCCCGTTCAAGCGGCGCTGCCGGCTAAACTTCTTATTTTTCTTGTCTTCATTTTTGCGATCTCCAGAGAGTTGCCCGTTCAAACCGCCAGGAGTTCCTTGACCCAATTTCCACTTCTGAGAAAGATACCGATTGCAGGGAGATGAGAGGTTTGTGAAATAAAAGATGAATCTGTTTGGGAGTAGATCAGTGGAAGATTGCAAATGCCCGTTCTAAATATCAAGATTGGTTTTTGTTTGAATTACATCTTTTAATACGCAAGTTACATTGGTATACACCTAAGTTACATTTGTCATCTACATGAGTTACATAATTAATAACATGAGTTACACCAAAAAATCAACTCCTACTATTAAAACAAAAACAAAAAATTTTTTTAAAATCATTTTAATGATCATGTGATATTAAAAACAAAACATATTCACTATTTATGTAAAGTAATCGAGTATTTAGACTCTTTTTTTCATTGTTTACATTGAAATCAATGTTTTTATTTTGTATACCATGTATTTGACAAGTTACATTTCGACTGAATTTGAGTTACATAAATCAATAACGTGAGTTACGTACATTAATTTACACGTGAGTTACATCATTCATGCTACTGAAACAAAAAGAAAGAAAAAACAGTTATTTATTGTTTACGTGATACTGTTCACGCGAATTTTTTAAAAGAAAATGCGAAAATACGTCGTTTTGGGTATGAGAGCACGGTGCTCAATGTGGTGTGATACGACCGTATACGAACTCCAAAACCCCTACTCGGATCAGTGTACCATTCTCAGCAC